GTAGTACGGCAAAAGAAGCTGCATAAAACATTCTTTAAGAAAAATTTGTGGTCATTGTGAGCTGTAATAGAAATATTAATAATTATGTGCAGTGAAGGAGAACCTAATTCCTCTCCCCTCCGTCCTCTCTTTTTCACTTTGGAAAAATGGGAAAAATTTTAAAATAAACACTTTACGTAAGAAAACTTATAAAAAATAGAAAGAAGAAAAGTAAAAGGAAAACAAAATATTTCTCGCAATCAGTTCCCAGATTGCAGGTTCTGATATCTCCGCTGAAGTATTTTTTTCCCAAGGCTAAAGCTTTCCGAGAGTCGCACTAGCCAACCGCGGTGACCCCGAAGCCCCGATAACCGTTGGTAAAGTCTAGCGAAAATCCGCTACGAAGATAGTGCGCATCCCGACGCTAATGGAATCTCCACCCTATAAAAATAACCTTGTTTAGCAATCGAGGTCTCATTTGATCTCGTTTCTCGTATTTGTCACGAGTCATCGTCTCGTCTTATTGGTATCTCTTCCCTGACAGACGTTTTTTTGGGTATTGTTAGTCGTTTTGTCCCATTTACGGGTTGGTTCAGGTCATGTGTTTTGCGTCTTGATTTAAGTCATCTGTTGTGCATTTTTATCTGGGTTTCTATTATTGCACATTTGTGAAGTTTACGTAAAGTTCTAAGGTACAACACGCTCTCACATTTCAGTTCCTTTAGATCCTCCGCCACATACACATACATACACATACACACACTTACACATTTCGCAAAACTAACTATGTGCAGAAATATAAAATTATGCTAGAAAAGTTCTATATTTGTTTGGTAGCAAAGGAAAGAAAAGAGTGGGGAGAACTTAATTCGATATTAATTAGCTGAAACTGCGCCGATCTGATAAAATACTTCGCTCTCATTGATTTGATGCCTAACTTCACAATCTTTTAATTCTCTGCTTACAAAGCAATTTATCAGTTACTCTATTGAAACTAACATCGACTCATCCTTTTGATTATTTAAATTAATCAGTTTCGGGTTCTGAATACATATTGTCTATATGAATTGTAAGTTAGTCTCACTGAACCTGGGAACTGAACATGTGAACAGGTTTGCCAAAAACAGGATTAATACAGATGCAGCAGGCGTGCAACTCAAGACAAAAGAGCTAGACATATCTGCGAGCGACATGTAAAACGCATTCCAGTACCATTGTTAATATCAGATTTCTGTATCGCATGCCGGGACGATCACAATAATGCTAATGAGACGGTATCATTTCACAGAAATTTTTCATCTTACAAGAACAGTCACCCAGAAGTAGATAGTAAAAATTCCCTTGAGCTGTTTGAAATGTATAAATAAAAAATCTAAAAACAAAGCTTGAAGGAAAAAAATCTGTATGTAAGAAATCTAAAAGTAAAATGTGAAGCAGTAAATGAAAGACCACTCATAACAAAGCTTTTTTACCTTACTGACGGTGCGATCTTCGTTGTGTGATTTTGCGAGCTCCAGTAAATGGTAGCGGATACTCTCTGCTTTTAATAATCTATAAAATCTCAATACAAATTGTACAAATACTGTGCTGCCTCAAGGGCACTCGCAGATGTTTGATGAGGAGTTGCATGTGTGCGTTTGTACTTACTCTTCATTTTCATGCAGTGGCCGAGTCGTGTGACGCGCATTATGAGTTTC